GATCCAGCACAATCGACCCAAAACCTGGTAACCTAATGGCCAACACAGCCGACCCGAAGCCTCTTGGTAACCTAATTACCAGAACGACCGACCAGAAGCCCCCGCCCACTGAGCCATCCAGAACGCCTTCACGCCGCCCGAATCCGGACCTAGACCTGCCGATCAGGTTGGGCTGTGGCCATCCCGGCACTCCAGACGCAAGTGCACCGGCAAGCCCGTCCCGTTTTGGTCCCGATGCGGGAGCGTGGGGCCACTGTCCAGAGAGCGTGGGTGCACCCCCACGACTCGCCGGCCACCACCCATGTCCAATGTACCGGACCGGGTACGGACATAAAGCCGTCAGTCCCGAAGCTACGCCTCAATAGGACTGCAGTGCAACCTGCCTCTTTACCGGCCCTGCTGTCGGTGTGGCTGCCCGGACGGACAACCCCACCAGTAAAACCGTCCCGAACCCGTCGCATAAAATGAAACCAGCAGTAGCGAAGACGACCAATACGAGAAAAACAGGTATTTAATCTCCATAGGGCTAAAGTGTAAATGATCGCTGGATTGGCTCGGGTCGATGGAAATTTCAATCAACTAAAACGCTTTTTGTCAGCTGACAATAGGACACTTGGTGATTTTGGTTCGCAACTAAATACTCGTTAAATTTGCTTCGGAGGAATTCATCTATAACCTTGAGTGTTCCCAGAGTGTAGAAGCACATAAAGCACAAGAACACCAAGCAGCGTAATAAAGAGAACATCCTCCAACGGGTTTTTTTTTGAGTTGTGAAGTCCAAATAGATGTAATAAGCGGCATCAAGGACTTGCTTCATCTGCGGCTAGCACACAAGCACAAAACACAGCAGCGTGTTGATAAAGACAAAGAGTTTGAGGTTCTTCAAACCCTCCTCAGAGCTGAGCCACCGAGAGAACTTCCCTCGTTCCCCTACTTCTTGCTCCGTTTGGTTGTTTAGCTGCGATTTACTGTTAGTTTGCTTCTTCATGACGATCAACTGGGCAAACTGAAGCCCAAACGACTTGGAGTGAGCTCAATTGAATTAGTCAAAGATTTAAGCGCTTTTGAGGTGGGGGGGAGTCAGTCGCTCGCGTATAAAGGAACGCGGTTTTAGGGAACGGGCAGCTGTTAGCCACGATCTCCTGCTGTGACGGTCTCGCTAGCCCTCACGTTCCATACTTTCAATTTCGGTCAATTGCTCTTTAGTAAAGCGGAACCTGTTGAATTTGTGAAGTGTTAAATCACACTGTGTGAAAAAACTAACTATATTTCTTTAACCGGTGTACGGTTGGACAGTAATTATTTCTTCTGCATTGAATTAGTGCTACTACCTAAATAAGGGTAAGTAGGGAATTGTATTCGTTGGGATTGATCGGGTAATAAGACTTGCTCTGCTTTTTTAAGTTGTTACGGTACATTGTGTATTCCAATTTTTGCCCCGTCCCATTGCCACTTAAGGACCTAGGTTCCCAACCTTAAGTGGAACAGAAAATTCGGCTCTCCTTAAAACCCTAGTCCTAAGTTAAGCAGTCTTTTTAATTCTAAACCATAATACTAATTTAATTTCTTTGGGGTTTTCTAAGCAAAACCTCTGGCATCCCTGGAGTTAACCGTTAGGAAGTAACTTTTAACTAATTGTTAGGCCCGTTGGCCACTAACTTAGAAAGAACTAACAATAATTGTTCGGCCGTTGGCCCAGTACTTCATAAGGTGGATTTTAAGTGTTCTGGTCCGTTGGAAAAACTAATTTTAAGGTTCAAGGAACCACTACTAGGTTAATCTAAATTCTTTTTGTTCTTGTATATGCATCTTGGTAATCTGTGTCCTCTCCCTTTCCAATTAATCCCGCTTGGTTGCCTATGATGAAATAGTCGCCCAGGTACAAGGCTCTGAGGTAACCAAGTACACCCCTCTTCCTTGGATCGCATACAAGAATCTGATTAAGTTAATCTACGGCTGCTGGCAAAGGAATCCCCAGTTTGCCCCTTATTTTCAGCACCCTAGGATTTACCTGGGAAAAATAAAAAATTCCAGACCCAAGAAGTCCCCCTGGCCAATTTATTTTTTCACACCCCACTTACGGACTTGGAGAAAAAAGTAGGAAAAGAGCTGGGGTTTAGGACTCCCCCTCGCCATTTTTTTCTGAATAAGTCTATCCCCAAAATATGACTGATCAGGTTAAGCCTGAGGCAGGGCTCAAAGGAGCGACTGGTGGGGACCACCCTGCAGAGGACGGAAGAAGAGAGGCGAGACCCTCGGAGGGTTCGGTGGGACGTTCGCCGTCGTCCCCAGACCTGGAAGAATGCTTTGGATTTGCGACTTCCCGCAGACACGTTACTTTATAAGATTGACTCCCAGTCCTGTTCGATAACAGAATTTTTTTTCAAAGGCACCTTGGCCCTTTGCTTCAAGCTCCAAGGCGGTCTTTTCAAAGGAATCGAGCTGCCACTGGGTAGGATACAAGGCGTGGGCCGCAAGCCAGACGATCAGCTTCAATGTGGCCCAGTTATGTAGTTTTTTGCGTGGCGGCCAGCAAACAATCACACCTGCGAGAGATGATGGCTGGTTGAATTGCTATCGAAAGTTTCCAGCTACATTGGTGGTTACCTTTGGGCTGATCCTGTTGATTTCGTCCGCAGGATATCGGCGTCGACACTTGTTCATAGCCATGTTCCATATATCGCAGATTCAACGTGGATTCACCCTTAATGTTGGTCACA